CTGCGGCGCAGCGCGGTTTTTGATCTGTTCACGGGAAGAGGAAGAGCAGCTCTTACACCTGAAGGCCAGGTGATGCGACTTACCATCTTCATCTCCACTGCGGCTCACAATTCAGTCACAAGAGAGAATACTTTGTGTTCACAACTTGAGTTTTTTAGTCTAAATAGCAATAGTAGAATAAACTTTTGTTTGACATTTTAAAAGATTTCCCTTTTGACTATTTTAATACTATACTAATCTGGATTTAAGAGAGAGAGAGAGATAGTCCTGGCTGGTGTGGCTCAGTGGTTGAACGTCATCCGGTGCACCAAAAGGTCACTGGTTCAATTCCGGGTCAAGGCACATGCCCAGGTTGTGGGTTTGGTCCCTGGTCAGGGTGCATATGGGAGGCAACCAATCGATGTTTCTCACATCTATGTTTCTTTCTCTCTCCCTCTCCCTTCCTCTCTCTCTAAAAGTCAATGAAGACATATTTTTAAAAATATACACACACACATATACAACAAACACCCACCCAGCCCTGCTAGACAGCATCTCACAGGACCTCCCAGAGCCTCAGGGTGTGGGGTAAATAAATGTAAAAGAAAAAGAGAAAAAGAGATTCTCTCTACAAGAAACAAACCAATAAACAAAAATGCATTTTGAGCAGTATACTCCCAAGGCAGAGTGGAAGTAATTTTTTTTTTTACTAGTAACATTACCTTATGCAAACAGGCCTGGCATTGCTTTCATGCACTGCTGAAAATAGTAAATCAATTCTTTGACTAATTAAACAGTCCACCCTATTCAATGATAACACAAAATGTAAATTCCTCCAACCTTTATTAACAGTACTAAACCAATTCGAAAATATGTGCAGTGCAGCACTTTCAGTCCCGGCGACATCTTTAACAGAACTCCTCTCAGTGCACTCATCCACGGTCCCTAAGTGATAAAATCCTACCCAGCCAAGTGAAAGGTACAAAACCCCACATTTCTCCTTCGCAGAATCCCGCCCAGCTCCTCTCGAACGGTGTGTTGCTAAATCTTCATACTCACTTGGCAAAAGCGTTTCTCCGGTTAATCTCTTTTTGGGAAGAAGCTGAAGTGGTACTGAAGCTTCTCCTAAAACCTAAACATGCAAGTTAAGGTCAGAAGAGGGAAAAAAACCCGCCATGTTTTTTTTTAATTAAAAGTTATCTTTTATCATTCCTCCTGCAGATGTTCTACTAGTTCAAATGTTCCTTTGGAAAGAGAAAGCACAGAACGTAAGTACATCCAGAATACAGAAGTTGTTCAGATTTCACGACAAATTTGTATCTGACCTTTCTCAGACAAAGTGCACGTACATGAGCAAGTTATAATCATGACATACATTCGGAAGTTTTATTAGAAAGGTTCTTGAAAGCCAAATAACACTGAAGTATCTACACTAATAAAAGAGAAACATGGTAATTAGCGTACAACCGCTACCCTTCCCATTGGCTAATCAGCATATCCTTATGCAAATTAACTGTCAGCCAAGATGGCGGCCGGCAGCCATGCACTGAAGCGA